CAACCTGGCAGTGGTCATTGATTACCTGTTCCAGGTCAAAAGCCTTCAGAGTAATTTCACTCAGGGGCCAACCCCCTCCCCCCTGAAACTGCCTATGAAATAGATATTATAGAATATAATATATCTAATGTGTAAAAATGTTGAGAAAAATATTTAATATTTTAATAGTTATGTAATGTTTTTTGGATATTCAAGAAAACATTTTTTAATATTGGTTTTAATAAATTTTATAACAAAATTGTATAAATAATCATATGATAGCAGCTTCTGGTAATTGATATCTCTATTTTTCTTAAAATCTCCTTTTTCTTGTTTTGAATTATTGACCAAATATCGACTAATTTTGAAAAAGAATTTTTTTTTGCTGTGAAAAGGGGTTCTACAGTGGTGTCTCCATTCGATAATTGGGTAAAGGTTGATAGTGTAAATCTTATCATCAGAGAGTTCCCGTCCAGTTTTAGATAATTTAGTTAAGATTTAATTAGAAAATTTAAGTTTGTACAGGTAATGACTCTATTTCTAATATATAAATCTAGATTTAGGTTGGTTCTCATATAAACATTAGAACAGCTTAACCGGTTCGGCGCTAACTTTTGTGGAACCCTTGGATAAACTATCCAGAGCTGGGAACTTTAAATTGGTGGATATCAGGATTAATGCTTGATCCACTCTTTTTCTTAATCTCGAGAATAATAATGCTTATTCTTCTCTTGTTATTAATCTCCAGATTAATTAACCGATCGGGATTAAGGATATCCCATTCTAAAGTTTCAGCTCCAGGATACAGGGTTGACGCGTACAAGGCGTCTAACAAGTTGGTTTGAAGAAAATCAAAGCCGCAACGTTCACAAGGGCGTATACAGGGAGGGGGGCAGTGCCCACCCCCTAGACCTAGAGCTATCACACTTTTAAAATCTGAAACTGAAGAGTTAAGAACATTGAAAAATGAGTTTGCTGGATTTTTCTGCTAGTTTTGTTTGAAGGAGAGATAAAGTACTACTTGTAAGGTAATTGGACTGTATGTGTACCGTACCTAAAAAGTATCCAAGAAGCCAAATGTTTTGAACTTTCAAATTTTTAAATCACAGAAGCAACGCCAAGACGAAAAAAAGGTGTGTTCGGAAGAAATAATGGTACGTTGTAACGTCATTTGATGAACAGTGAAGACGGACAAGTTTGCTCTGTATCCTGCAATTTGCTTGTTTTACTATGTACAACCGTATGCAGTCAAAACATAAACAAACAAAATGTGAACATAGCAGTTTTCTCTGTAAGTATCACTATACTAAATCAAAGAATTATTCAAAAAGACGATATCGAATTTGTCACTGTATTCCCATGCTTATTAGGACACCCTGTATAAACAAAGATACAAATATACAAATATAAGCAGAGAGCTTTATTTTTGATAGATGTATTTTCTTATACGTACAGTAGGTTTACTTGATCAGTTTAATCATTGACATCTATTTCCATCTGTAAGAGAGCAGTGAGTATACCTTTAATTGAGACTTTGATTATAAAATGTATTGTATTGAGAAATAAAGGAGGAGTGTCCGAGGGGGATCTTAATGATTATTATCTTCTAGGAAATCTCCGCATCGAGAATATTTACTGTTAATTGAAAACCTAAAGATTTTGTCAAACAATTTAGTTTTAATCAAAAAACAAGTTCATGTAATGTCAAGCAAATTTTAGCTAGATTTTTTATGCTTTTAAGATTACTGGTATATTATTACAGAGCGTCTTATATCATATTTCATTATTTCAAAGCTTTATCACCAAACTACAGACATGAAAAGGCAAGTTTTTTCAACCTTTTTCACACAATTTATTATTTTCGCCTTAAAACGTTTATTTTCCCATTCAGCCGATAAAACCCTGTTAAGCTACCTAGCTCGTGAAAAAATTACATAATTTTCAAGTGGGGGGATGATTTTTCAGGAAAATTTACACCCTTTCTATATTTAAGTCACATTTTTACATAATAAGAAATGTTAATAAAGGAACTGAACACTTACCACAAACTCTTTTTGCATAATTCCGTCAAAACTCTTATATACAAAGAAAATCAACTAATCTCGAATATAAATTTTTGATTGGAGAAATCTTGGAACTCGAATAAACACTAAATCAGTCTTGACAAGAAATTAAACTTTGAACTTTGTTAACTAAACATTTCATCAAATAAATCTTGGAACTCTTATATGAACTAGTTGGTTAAATAAAATCATCTGCCTTAAAGGGAGTGATCGCGAAAAATTAAAGGGGGTATAGCCTAACGTCGAAAAATATTCGATGGTGATCGATACTAATCTTACCTTCTTTATGTTGCGTCTATAAGGAGAAAATTGTTAAAAACGACTCATACCATACAAATTCAGAAAGTTGCAAAATTCGAATCGGATCGTAAATATATTAATTTAATTCCAAACAAATCGTTGATAAATTTTTTAAAAGAGATTTTTTTACCCCAGGACATGATCGTGTTGCTACGATCAAATCTCGGAATTTTTTCTATTGCGAAAGTTTGGTGTTGTCTGGGTTTATATTGATCTACCAAGGGTTGTAATCTGGCAGCACATTCATCTATCCACGCTTCATTCATACTGAGAAGAGGGTTGACAAGATTGCAGCGGCCTAAGGGCTTCTTAGGCAGAGAATAATAGAGTGGAGGAATTCTTCTGATATACTGAAATGAGGCCAGGGTGTCATAATGATAGGAAACATCAAACTCATTGCTCCCTAACATCTGTAAGCCCGGATTGATCCGTCAGGTGGTCATAACTGCTTAACCAGATGTCGGCTTCAGATGTTTTTGAAACCACAGGTTTGTGTGGAGTATGGGAATCGAACCCGTGAACACCAGTCTGGACACCAATCTAGATACTGACTGTTGACATTGGACAAGTGTGCTTAACTTTAGTGATCTAACGAGAACTGATGTCACACACTCTTCACCCCAATTTCATCTAGCAGCTGTAAAACATCGTGCTAGTAGGTCGAATGTGTAGTATTATAGCGGATTTGGCGTAGGACAGAAGTGGAGTATAGCGGATTTGCGAATGTCGAAAAATACACCATCATGCAGAAACAGAGAGCAAGGAGAGCAAGAGACACCTGGTGGCAAAATAATCGTCGTTTAATAATATATAAGACAAATATCCGCGTTAGATATTGCAACTTTCTGAAATTTGTATAGACGCTACGTTCTTCGGTATGAGTCGTTTTTAACAATTTCCTCCTTATAGACGCAACAGATATAAGCAAGATTAGTAGCGATCACCATCGCATATTTTTCGACGTAAGCCTATATACCCCCTTTCATTTTTTGAGAACACTCCCTTTAAAGGGACGGTAAGCGTAATTTCAAGTGAAATTGCAGATACAGGAAACAGACCGTACATTAATACTGATAGATTCATTACAGTCGTCTCTGAAGTCTCGTTCTTTAGGAGTAACTCTGTATTTTTAAAATTCGGTGATGGTGATGGACCAAACCTCTGTAGAGTAAAAAAAAGTAGAGGTTAGTTCCACATTTATTGAAAATATATTTTGGTCTGGGTTGACGGCCTCGTCAGTTTCTGCAAGGAAAGTTATAAACAAACTGTATGTTCAGATTTCACTTCATAAGAGAAGCATTAATCATATCTCCGAAACCATATCCTAACTATTTTTGTACCATCGCGTTGTAAACTAGTAAACTTTGCCTGTAATATTTACTCAATAACTAAGTATGTATCACGTGTGTGTTACCGTTGAAGAAGGAACGGCATCCTTAGTGATGTTACAAAACATTTTTAAATTTTTCGTTATTAACTTGTGTCTATCATCTTTTTTAACAATTTAAATTCTTGGGTTTATAAGGGCAAAAGTATATGCGGTCCTTTTTAATATTTTAAAACATTCTTTTCCAGTTTTTAATATTTAAAAATGCTTTGCTAAATTTCATAGGGTATTACTAGTCATACAATAGACGACTTTACAATCTATTTATATATGTAAAGTCGCCTGATTTGCCCGATATATATATAAAGTCACCTGATTTGCCCGATATATATGTAAAGTCGCCTGATTTGCCCGATATATATGTAAAGTCACTTTATTTGCCCGATATATATGTAGTCACTTTATTTACCCGATATATATGTAAAGTCGCCTGATTTACCCGATATATATATGTAAAGTCACTTGATTTTCCCGATATATATGTAAAGTCGCCTGATTTACCCGATATATATGTAAAGTCACTTGGTTTGCCCGATATATATGTAAAGTCGCCTGATTTACCCGATATACATGTAAAGTCACTTTTATTTGCCCGATATATATGTAAAGTCGCCTGATTTGCCCGATATATATGTAAAGTCAATTGATTTGCCCGATATATATGTAAAGTCACTTTATTTGCCCGATATATATGTAAAGTCACCTGATTTGCCCGATATATATGTAAAGTCGCCTGATTTACCCGATATATATATGTAAAGTCACCTGATTTGCCCGATATATATGTAAAGTCGCCTGATTTGCCCGATATATATGTAAAGTCAAGTCATCTGATTTGCCCGATACAAATGTAAAGTCGCCTGATTAACTGTCAATTAATTCCGGGTCTTTCTGATTATGACTGCAACAATTATATCTTCGGTTACGTAGTTAATTTTTTTTGGCAATTTTACGACGCCACTTGATAGTAAAAATACCTTTTAAGTTTCAATCCTATCATCTTCTAAAGTCATAAAATACAATTTTACTTCTTTTTCAACCAAGTCCAATTCCCCTGTTTCACGTAAACGAATTTTACCCTCTGAGAATTTAAGAAAAGAAAAATTTTCAAAGTTAAATTCAATTCACATTTGATTTAAGGAAAATATAAATCTAAAACTGCGAAGGAATGTGTTAAAAAATCCTCCCTTCTTTTCATTCCAAAAATACAAACTTTTCTAAAATAGAGTTCAAGTTTAGATTTTTGACAATCATGATTAAATTGATGCAGGTTTACAACAGCACTATTTTTATTATAATTGTGCAGGCATAAATATTCAAATTTGCACAGCTGTAAGGACTGAAGAATCACTAGAGTACAGTCTTTGTTTGGTGAACACGAATAGTTTAGGTTGTTGGTTGGTTTGGAGTAGGTTTACAGGTTTACAGGTCTGCAGACTAAACTCTATATCGTGGAACACTGAATGTCAATTGAAACATAATTATATTTATATTCAGCTTCATCAAGAATACAATATCCTTTAGTGAAGCATTCACCTCCACCATTCAGGGATACCTAGTGAATCATATACAGTAGGTTAGATGCGTCACGACGCAAGATTGCGTATCAAGACTCCCGCGTTACGACAGGGTTACGCAAGGCAAAAGTTCCCATAGTTATCTTATTATCTGTACACACGTTCACTTTACCAGCAGGGATACTTGTATAATCATTCAATACAGTTAGAGTCACGTTCTCGTACGCAGGCAGCAATTGGAACGATGAGCTAGGGGTCTGTACTCAGTAGCAAACCCTGAGCTGAAGTCGAAATGAGAAAAGTACAACTAGACGAGAATATCCCATCACTGGTTAGATAAAGTTCACTACAGTGGATATATATCTCTCAGTCTATATTGAATACACACACTACTACAGATTGATCCTGCAGATTCCAAATCCAATTCTGGATTTTCAAAGATAGGATGTATACAGTATACAACCTCCCACTAATTATACATCGGGTATACCCGATCTTACATACTTTAGAATATGTATACATAGTCAAATATCCAGCACTGCCAGTAGTAGTGACTGGGGTTCATTATGCTAGATAAAGATGCCTGGGCTAGGTTTATCTCGAGCTTATTGAGCAGGATCAACTGCATCTGGTTCTCCTCCTCCTCCTTGCTCAACCTCAGCACTGGCAGGTTCAACCTCCTTTCCTCCTTCTCCGGGTTTATCATTCACGTTCTCCATCTTCTCCTCGTTACCACCTGAAATAAGAAGCAGAAGTTTAGAGAAAGTTTAATGTTGAGATGAGATTTAATCCTAATGCTCGCGAATATCTAAGAAAATGACAAGGTTTGGTCAAGTATTCGTGATACTAGAAGGAATAAATTGCGGAACGGACAGGGGTATTTCCGCTTCAATCAACATTTGAATTCAAGTCCAAAACTTTCAAAACCATGAACCTGGTTGGGAAGGATTGAGAGAAATGGTTGAAGAAGAGAGTTCAATAAACTAAGAAGAAAGAAACGAAATGGAACAAAATATGAAATAAACGAAGGAACAAAATAAAATAGGTGAAGCATGGAAAAAATGAGAATAAGATGGGTAGGGTAATTAACGTAAATTTGACGTGTCGATGGGTCGAGTAAAGGATGTTGTTGTTTAAAGTCTAATAATAAAATTATTTTAATAATGCTAATACTACTACTAAAAATAATAATACTACTACTAATACTAAATTGCAGTAAACGTTCTGCAGTATGGAATTTTTTCTACAACATGACATTATACTTCCAATTGTTTACAATAACAACATGGTTTATTTCTGCCCCTAATATCAATCAATCAACATTTGGGATTGATCAGATGGACTTAAATGGATCCTGAATGGAAAAGTAAGAGAGCAGAAAGAATAATCCTTAGGGTAAAAAAACCCTACCTTCTGCCGTGTAATAATCCACCTTCCCCGGCATACCGTGATTTCCAGTCTGCTGGTTCATCTAATCATACAGGTTATAATTAGTATGATTAGTAATAATTAGTGTAATTAGTATAATACCCCTTTAATACCTAAACAACCACTTTTAATCAAATCCAATTTAAAGCTATAAGTAACGAAATAAATGTTAACTTTAATCAATGCATGAAAATAGTCCCACCTGTGGTCTGGCTATAGGAGAAGGATATCCCTGTACTCCAGGGATACCAATATTATACCCTAATGAACTCATCCTCAGCTGAGCCAGCTGATTCATACTGTTCAGATTGTTCATCCCAGTAGCAGCCGCCATCTTCTGCTGGTGTTCCATCTTCATTTTAGTTTTAGGAGACGGAGGTCCGTTCCGTCCGTTATAGTTATGGTTAGGTCCTGCTCCATAGTTATCTGCTAACCCTGATTTCTGGTTTCCTAAACCCTGAACATCAGTTTTCAGGAATGGTAGACCAGCAACATGGTTAGCTCGCATCTGTTGTTGTTGCTGCTGTTGCTGCTGTTGCTGAGACAAGTAGGAACCTAAAACAAAAGGTTTGTTTAAGGTTTGATGTGATGTGATTTATATGATAAAACTTTTTGCTCATATATATATATATTTATTTCTATGTCAGCTATAGCTGACCAAATAACTTGACCAAATTGGTTGAACTTTTTTGAGGGAACCCATGGGTATTGGGTACCCTGGGGGTAACATAGACTAAAAAAAAGATTTCTTTTTCAAAATTCTTATTTCACGGGCAACGCCGGACATTCAGCTAGTTCTCCATAAAATGGTCATAACCAAGATAAAGGTGAAAAGGTCTTAATTTGGTTGAACTTTTCAAAGAAAGCTAAACTCGCCTTAAATCAATAAAGAACAAACACAATGTAAATTGACTCCTTGCTGTATTGTTCTTATTAATTTCTTTTATCGTCATACCTAGTTCACTGTTCTGACTTTATGGCGTGAATTTACTGATCTTATAATAAAATAGAAGGAGTATGAATTAATAATTTATAAACAAATACCGTTCAACCATCCTTTTTAATTTATGAACACTATAATATTGTTCAATCATCCTTTACAATTTATGAACACTATAATACCGTTAAACAACCCTTTGCAATTTATGAACACTATAATGTCGTTCAACCCTTCTTTATAATTTATGAACACTATAATACCGTTCGAACCTCCTTTACAATTTATGAATATAACACTATAATATCGTACGACCCGCCTTTACACTTAATGACACTTTGATACCGTTCAACCCCCCTTCTCAATTTATGAACAACCCTCTTTAACAATTTATGAACACCGTTCAACTTTCGTTCACATTTTATGAACACTTTCAAAGTTCATAAATATTGATATTTTCCTACCTTGCATTGCTGCATTAAGAGTAAGCTGAGGTTGTCTGTTCGCTAAACTTTGATAAAATGCTGTCTGTGTTGGCGGAGCGTTCCCACGCTGCATCCCTGCAGGGTTCGGGTTCACGTAGTTAAAGTTGCTGTGTTCATACTGGATATATGTGTTAGGTAGAGTTCCCAGTCCTGTCTGTAGATACGGAGAATTGTTAGCTCCGGACCCTGCCTTGGTACCTATAGGTCCGATCTGGTTGTTATGTTTCGAGATGAGGTTCGCCTGTGAGATTAGATGATTGTTAGCGGAGTTCTGTTGAGCTCCAGGATAGTGTCCTGTACCCTGGAGTCGGTATCCAGCTGCACCATTAGAACCAGTAAATAGATCTGTACCAATAGAATGAGTTCCTTGCATGAGAATAGATTGGTTTAGTTGATTTGCTCCGTAAGGATTATACATAGTAGAGTTACGATCTAAAGGATAAGCCCAAGGTTGAGGTTGCATGGCTCCCATTTGATTCATCTGGGTCGGAGGGGAAGGAATCGCTCCAGGTATAGCGTTGTTAGCCATCCTACCATATTGCATGGGGTTGTTGGGACGATTGTCCTGATCCATGACATGTTGTTGTTGCTGCTGTTGTTGCTGTTGTTTAACCTTTGGAACATTGCCAGGGTTGGGACCGTTGTCAACTTTATCGTATCCACCGCTGTTATCTACAGGAGCTCCGTCCTGAAAACCTTCAAACCCGGAGTTCTCATTGAAGTTAGATGAATCTGTCCAACTAGCAGAAGCGGTTGGATTCTCAGGAACCACGGCCATACCTGGAGAATCCCAGAGTTTCTTAGTGTTGGCAAGCTTAGCTGAGAGATCATCAGTGCTAGGAGAGACAGGGAGTCCTTGAGGACCAAGATGAGGCATAGAACGCTGAATGGATAAAGGTGGTTTGCCCTGGGAGGATAAATCATCTCCACCGAAAGTAAAATCAAGCTTAACGTCAAGATTATCTTCTGGCTTGCCCAAACCTACGGGCATCTGTATCCCAGATTTATCCATCTTCTCCCCCTTCCCTCCTTTCAAAGCAGTATTCTCAAACACCATGGTTTGCATTCCTCCGTTATCCTTTCCCTGCTTAGGAGATGCTCTCATGTCAGGACCTTCAGATCCTTCTCGTCTAGGTGGAGGTTTCTCCCAAGCATTAGTTCCTATATCCTCTACTTGGAACACTCCCATCTTATCTCCTTCAGGCCATCCATTCTGCTCCATTCCCGAGGGTGATATTCCTCCAGATCTAGCTTGAGCCCTGGATACTTCACGAACCTTGGCCAATCTAGGCGGAAGCTTATTTTGCCGCCGCTCAAAAGAACTTTTGTTCTGTTTGTTGAAGTTATCTCTTGGATCTCTTGAATCCCTGGGATCTCTAGTATCTCTAGGATCTCTAGAATCTCTGTACCTAGGGTCATAAGCATTCTTATCTCCGCTCTTAGGACCAATCCTTTCAAAGCTTCTCCTGTCCTCCCTAATAACTGGTGGCCTAACCTTTCGGTTAACAACCTGCATGAACTCTCCTGCTTCACTCTGGTCGAACTCCTGGTCGTTATGACTGTTCTCTTGGTCCACCACCACTACACTAGCAAAGTCATGAAGATCAATATTCTCGATCCCAGAACGCTTTTTCACCAGATCAGACTCAGGGGTTTGCTCTCGCTGACCTTGTCCTGGTCCGCCTCCACGCCTAGCGCCACGGGACTCCCAGCCTCGACCTCCACGTCCTCGGCCTCGTTCAGCCTCCCTTCGACGCCTGTCCTCGTTCGAATGCTGACTTGAAGTTTCATCTTCGTTTTCATCATTCTTTCCAGGACGTCCTTTCTCCTCTCTTTTCCTTTGCATCCTTGGTGGTACCTGGTTTCCTCCACGGTTCTTAAACTCATCTTCATTCCAATCTCCAACATCGTCAGTATGCTCCTCAACCCCTTCACTGTTACGAGACATTCCACCTCGGCCACCGAAGTTTCCGCGAACTTTTCCTTCTCCTCTTCCTCTCCTACTGGGCTGACCTCTAGGCATGAATCCTACCGGAGGAGGTTGATTCATATTATCGGAGAACTTTTCAAAATTCTTTCTGTTCTTCCTCATTTCTTCAGTTTCCTCTCCCTCCGGTTCAACGTCCACAAATCTTCCATTGTTTCCTTTTCCTCTGATGTCTCCTCGTCCTCCTCGTGTTCCACGACCTCGTTCAACACGGTCTGGTCTCTCTCCGCCCATCCCTCGACCTCCCCGGGTACTGGTGTTAAACTTTCTATTATCCAGCATTTGTCCTCTTCCTCTACCACCACGTCCTCGTCCTCCTCCGTTCTTGTCCTCCCTCTCCAAGGTGTCTAGGAGACCATCCTCGTCATCGCTTATGTTTTCCAGCATATCAGAGTCTAGAAGGGGGTTCAATTTTTCTTGAGGTTCGACCTGAACGGGTTTAACTTCAGCCTTGGTGTCACGTTTCTTCAGCTGAGTCATTCCCGTCGTCTCCCTGTGATTCGCCGCCTCAAGTTTCTCTCTTGTAATAGGACCTGGAGCTTGCCGCGCAACCTTCTTAGTTTCCTCTGGAGTATCACGGAAATATCCTCTTATATCAGTAATCGGAGCTTTCTTCGTCTTCTTCTCACTGTCATACTCAAACAGAGACGTTTCTGGTTTCCTTGGTTTCTCTTCTTTAAACTCTGGAAGTTTCTTTGTTTTCTCAACAGAGTTCCGAGAATTCTTTCCTTCTTTGGATCCGCGGGATTCTTTGGAAATTCGAGAATCTCTGGAGTTCGGACGACTTGACTGCTCCGCCTCGAACTCCTGTCTCTCACTGAGCTCAGCACTCTCCACATCATCTACCCAGTCCGTGATGGGTTTAGGAGGTCTAGCACCCCACTCACTCGTTCCATTCTCGAGTTCAACCTGCAAAATGATTTTAAGAAATTATTCATCATTTTATTTTAGAATTTATTTAAATACAAAAAAATTTTTATTTCAGGATGTGTACAAATGAACAGATGAGTGAACACTGAAATATCGTTGTTGGATAATTACTCTCATCGCAGGGGACATTGGTTCCAAAGCTAGCAATTAGCCCATTTCTAGCACTGAGTATAACCAACATTTATTAAGCATGACGAGGACAACAATTCCAATAAAAACTATTTTCTTAATCAAAATTATAACAGGGCCCACAAAACATTTGGGCCCGATCGGTTCAGCCGTTTTGACGTTTATTGGATACAAACTGACAAACAAACAGAGAGACAAGCTAAGTGTATATATTGACTAGGCTGTGCCCATCTTCTAGTTCAATTGTGAACATGTTCTCTTTTGTAAAACAAAAACAAACAAAAATTTGGGCCCAATCGGTTCAGTCGTTTTGAGGTTTATTGGATACAAACAGTTTTACAAATTCAAAAAATGTTGTTTTCTTACGTAAGTGCATAAATCAAATCAAATCAAATCAAATCAAATCAAATCAAATATTATTTATTTACGCAGAAACATTGATAAATCATTATTACAAGTGGTAGATTAATTGTCAACTGATTAATGGGTGAAAATTCATATTGATATGAATTCTCGAAATCAGGAAATGTTCCAAAACGCGACATGAGCTGAAATCCGGTATTTGTTTCAAAATAGGGATATGTTCGAAGATGAAAACAAGAATCATTAATAACTAATTCTTTCACCTTAATATTAGTTTAAACTGAACATTTATCGTTCAACTCGGCTTAAATTTAAAGATAAATACACTTGAAAAAGATAACTTTGCAGATTTGGCTCAATTCTAACACTCAGTGTTAGAAATGGGCCGAAAACTGATAAGTATAGCTTGTTGAAAACATGTAGGAATTCTCACTCTTTTAGACATAGAAAAAGGACAATATCTTCCACATTATTGATCAGATAAGGGTTTCAAGGGCACCAATGTAAATCGTATAATACTATCTTTGCATAGGGGGTTGAACTTTAAATTTCGCTTAGAGTCCCTTTAAACAAATTCCTATATCATGTAAACGTATATTGATGAGAAACCATTACTGTTTTTAAACTGTAACCTGGACAAAATATTTGCCAAGGATTAAACAGAAGTGATCCAAACTAAAATTGAAAGAGTAAATGCTTTAGTATTTTACCTCCTGAGAATCCGAGTTGGAGAGAAGAGATGTTTGTCTGTTATAAACTGGAGATCTACCAGACCTCCCGCTCCATCTTCTCTCACCTCTGAAAATAAATTCAGATTAAAAACGTTGACAATTGAAATTACTTATTTATTTTCTATATTGGATTTGTCAAAGTTCCCCCCCCCCCCCCCTCCACAAAGTAATAAAATTTTATCAACAAGATTCAAGCGTAATAAAAAACATATATTTACTTGTTTTCGTCAGTGTTGGTGAAATCTGAGAAAGGTGGAGTTCCCTCCGAACTCCTATTTCTCTCTCTATCATCAAAACTCCGAACCTGCTCCTTCCGTCCAGAATATTTGAATTCATCGTCATGAGTGTCGTCATATTTCCTATGTTCATCAGGCCTAACCTTCTCTTCCTTGCGATCAAACCTGGGCGGATAGTATCCGTCCCGACGGGAATCTAACCTTTCTCCTCGCTCGTTCCTATCATCGAATCTGTTCTCTCGTCTATCGTCAAATTGTCGTGGTTTTCCTCTCTTCTCATCAAAGCCCCACTCCTTCCTTTCAACCAGAGGGGTTTTATTTTCCTTCGAACTATCATCAAATCTTCTAGTTTGTTGTCTCTCCTCCCCCCTGAAGTATTCTTCTGAACCAGGTCGTCTGTATCTACTCTCCTCCTCCTCACGTCTCTGCCTAGCTCGCTCAATATTCTTTATTACTTCTTCAGATTTCTTAGTTCTCCTCTTCTCATCCTCTTCAATCCCGAACCCAACAGGTTTCTTCATTTCTTCATAGAAATTATAGGATTGAGTACCATGCGCCTTTTCAACCTGATCCGCCCAGTTCGGATCCGTTCTTGGAGATTCAGCCTCCACATCCTCATCATCACTCTGTAATCTCTTGTTGTAATCGAAGTTATCGTCGTCATAGGTCCAATCGTCTCCAGCCAAATCGTCCATTCGACGCAGTTTTTCCTTGTCAATAATAGACGGAGGTGTAAATTCAGATTGAAGGGGTCGGCCTCGAGGCTGAGGTTCCCGTCTGTGTCCGGGACGCTCTCGAGATATTCTCCGGTTACCAAGGGGCTCCGTGGGTCCAGTAGGGAGCTCCATCACGTCCATGAAGGGAGGCATGATAGACTTGTACTGGTTGGGAGGAGACTTGTGACTGTGTGCCAAAGCACCAGGAGGAACTGGTTTGTGAGGCTGTGGAAGAATAATTGGATCGGAGTCTGTCTGATTATCAACCGATCCTTGACCTGGCTTCATTCCACCCTGTGTCCAGTTTCCATAGGTTTGAGGTCGAAGATTTGGTCCGGATCCAAAGTTGGCAGGATCTTCCCTTCCAGCTTGCAATTCTTGCTGCGATCTGACAACTTGATTCTGTACCTTGAGATCCGACTCCACTGAACCCAACTTGGCTCCTCCCTCTCCGGTTCTCAAACTGGGAAACTCCTGCCCGAAGAGCGGAGATTTCTGATGACCGAACGCTAGTGTTCTCCCTGGCTGCTGACCGGGCTGAGCTGCACCCGTTACACTGCTCCATGATTTAACTCCAGAAGGTTTCTGAGCTGCTGAGGGGATGGGGGGTTCCTTTTGGGATTCTGGTGCGGGCTTTGGCACACTAAACAATAATAGATTTTAATAAAGGCAATTTTAAAATTGTTTTAGTAAAACCACATTGATTTCTTTAAAAAAATGAAATCGAAGGATAAAAATGACACCAACCTATTCTGAACTTCTCCCTTCTCTACAGATCCTGATCTCTCTCCATCTTTAGTCCAGCCTGAGCCTCCTGTAGGAACCAGAACAACGGTTGGATCATTTCCTCCTTTCTCAGACTTTACACTCGGTAGATTGGCCGGGGCTCGGCGAGCTGTTGGTATTTTACCCAAGCTTTGTAATCCATGTTTCTGAGGGATACTCTTAGACGAGTTCTTATTGGGTGCACCCTAAACAATTATCAGCTCAGGAAAATTAAGTAATTTTTTTTTAGAAAATTGGAATTTAACTTGAAAATAATTCAAAAAAAGTTCGTAACATAAATGAAGTTGACAAAATAAAGACCCAGAAATAAGAAGCTAAAACACCTAAGAGTAGGTTTAATGGGTAGTGAGACGTAGTTGAATCAAGAAGACACAGTTAAACCACTTTTATTGAGCGCCAATTGTAGTTAATAGTTAGTGGTTCAATTTAATCTATATAGCTCAGCTGCGGCTTTAATTCAAGCTTAAGTGGTTTAATTTAGTGTACATAGTTCAACTACGTGTATGTTTTATGCTGTGGAGAGGTGGTTCAATTTAGTCTACATAGTTCAGCTATGTCTTCAATTCAAGTCATAAAAAAGCGGACTAATTTAGTCTACATAGTTCAGCTATGTCTTCAATTCAAGTCATAAAATTCAGATCCTTCTNGGATGAGTTGGATGAAAAAGATAAATTCGGGATTTCTCTTTTTCCTTCCCATTTTGCCACGATCAATGAAGGACCTGAATTAAAGGAAGAAAGGGGGTAGGGGGAGGCACGGGCGGTTTAAGCCAGGGTGGGTAAAGAAGAAAAGTTGCGTGAAAATCCCCCCCCCCCACTGAATACTTCAATTTACACCCCTCTTATTTGGGTAATGTTACATCGTCTATACGCAACATCCCCCCTGCTGAACTTCGGATATTGTAGTATAGCGTAGGTCAGAAGTGTCGAGTATATTGAAATTTGGACTTGGCCTTTGCTTCCGTTAGCTTGTGTTGCGGCAGTGACATCCTGCAAGGTCAATTAAATTACCGTCATTAATTCGTTTCTTATAGAAATCCGCTAGATTCGTTATTTACTTAAAACTAAGTGTCCTTGAGAGAAAATGAGCAACTCATACAAAACCTTCGGAGATATTTAAAGGGTTATTCGCCGAATAAAATTTTCCAATTCTTAAATTTAGATTTAACACTTTGAACCGGTAATATTGATTCGCTCTACTG